CAACCCTGAAAAAAGGAACGATAATGTCCTCCTCGCGCCTCATGCACGCAATCGGTCTCCTTCACCGTTGGCGGCGCCGCGCAACGCTGACTCCGCCGGCCCAGCGGCTCTACCTGACTGGTGACGGTCAGGCGTTGGTTCTGCCCAAACATGCAGCGAAGACTGCCCTCATCGAATGCTCGACTCCATTCCGTCCAGAGGAGGCGCTCGCCAACCTGCGCGAGGAGCCGCCCACGCCTGGCGAGGTTCTTGGGAGACACAAAGCCGTTCGCAAACGCGCGCAGGAGCTGGCAATGTGGTCGGGCGCCCTGATCGGCATCACGATGCTCAGTCCCTTAATCGGGGTACCTGCCGGAGGGGCCGTCGGTAGCATCGCCCTCCACGCGATGGTCAAGTTTCACGGGCGCCGAGCGGAGCGGCGGCTCGCGCGGCATCTAGATCAGTATCACTCGGAGTACAGTAGCGAGAGGTCGCCGTGAGGTACAGTAGCCGGGGAAATCGATGGCGGTGAGTTTTGTTGTTTAATAAATGGAAAATAAATAACGAGCGTCCGTGTACCGCGTGAGCCGAGCGAGAGCGGGGAGAACGCGGATCGAGAGGGCGGACAGAGGGCGCTCAGAGCGCAGAATGCCAGCGGTCCCCCCAGCGGGCGAACAATGAGCTCAATAGTGCGCCGTGATCCCGGACGCGAAGGGGGTTCTGGAGTCGACAGTGGTAGGAGAGGTGACCCGAGCCGCCGGGTGCCCCGCAGCGGCCTCGCTGGGCCAGAAGACCGGTCCGCGAGTGCTCCGCAGCAACCTCGCTGAGCCAGAACGTCGGCTCGCGAGGTGGGGTGCTAGTATGAGCCCGAGCGTCGCAGAGTTCTTGCTACAGGTGTACCTGTGTTAGTGCCAGTGCGTGCCCGCGCGCGAGGGCGATGGTAAAATTCTTGCTTCAAGCGCTTGCGCTTCGGCGAAGACTTGGCTGGCGGTCCGCCCAGCACTTCCAACGGTGCGGCTTTTCTCGTCCAACTGTGGCGCCGCCTCCGCCTCGCCTTCGACCGGATGGGCACCGAGTACGACATCCTGCTCTGCGGCGTGACGGGCTTCGCGGGCAAGCTCGCCGCGGAGCACCTGCTCGTGAAGAGCTACCCGATCAAGTGGGCCTGCTGCGCTCGCAACGAGGCCAAGGCGGCGGCTGCGGTCAAGACGATCGCGGACAGGGTCGGTGCGACGGCGCTGCCGCCCATCGAGGTCGCCTGCCTCATCAGCGACGAGGCGAAGCTGCGTGCGGTGGTAAAGAAGACCAAGGTCGTCCTCACTTGCGCTGGCCCCTTTGAGAAGTACTCTCAGACGCTCGTAAAGGTGTGCGCCGAGGAGGGCGTCCACTACGCAGACATCACGGGCGAGTCGGACTTCTTCCGCAAGATGATCGCCGAGCATGACGCGACCGCGCAGAAGACGGGCGCCAAGATCGTCATTCACTGCGGCAACGACGCGATCCCGTGGGACCTGACGGTCTTTGAGATGAGCAAGCTGGCGAGGAGCAAGGGCGCAGAGCTGGCCGAGGCGTGGACCTACGGCGAGTTCGGCGCTACGGCGGCGGCGAGCGGCGGCACGCTGACGACGGCCATCTACCAGCTCGGCAAGAGGCGCGGCGGCGCGAAGCCAGACTTTGACCCGCTGCTCAAGAGGCCGGACGGCAGCAAGTCGGAGAGCCTGACCAAGATCACAAACCCGAAGCAGGACGTCTACTGCGACGAGTTCGCGCAGTACGGCGGGCCGTGGATCATGGGGCCGGTGATGGCCAACTGCGTGCGCCGCTCCAACGCACCGTCCCCTCGCCGCCCTCTCTCCGACTGCTGCGGCCTGGTCCCGTGACCAGCCGTGGTTGCTTTTAGGCGCTGCTCGGCTACAGCGCCAGCCTCACGTACGCCGACGTCATGCTGCGAGGCCACCCGACGTGGGCGCAGTGGGCGGGCGCCAAGGCGAACGAGGCGCTGGTCGGCGCGGCGGTGATGGCGCCGCGAGTCTTCGCGCGGTTCCTGCCTGCGCCGGGCGAGGGCCCGTCACGCGAGGACATGGACGCGGGCTACCTCAAGCTGCACGGCAGGGGGAGGATGGTCGAGCGGGACGGCAAGGAGACGCCGCTCAAGTCGACGTACCACTTCCCCTTGGACACGGGCTACCTGATGACTGCGCAGATGCTCGTCGAGGCGGGAATGGTGCTGCTCGAGAAGGCCAAGGCGGGCCCCGGAGGCGTCCTCACGCCCGCCGCCGCCCTCGGCAGCGACATCGTCGCGCGGCTCGACAAGGAGCTCGACGCAAAGTTCGAGATGAGCGAGGCGTGAGAGAATCTGCATACATGTAAATCTCTACCCAACATCGGAAGATCCTTGGGGACTGTAGTCCGTAGATGCCTTTTAGAGATCTCAGAAAAGGCCAACAGAAGCAGTCGAGATTGAAGTATGAAGAAGCAAGAACTGGTGGGAGGCAAATCTTCTCCGGTGTAGATGCTCGAGCGAGGGCGAGTCTGAGGTCTGTGATCTCGAGTTGGTGGACAGGTGCAGTCGCTTTGAGATCTTGCGACAGAGGTGGAATTCTGACTTCGCGCCAAAGGAGCCTAGAGATCGTGTGAGCCGACTGGAGATTGCAAAATGGCGCGAAAAGATTCTCTGGTGGGGAACGGGTACAGTACGCGGTTACTTTCCCCAGGATTGGTCTTCTTTGCCTGCGGGAACACCCTCGGGCGGCCGGGCGGGGTGGGGCTGCGGCTGGAGCTAGCATGGCTCGGTAGAGCCGAGACCCCGTGTTGAGGCGGCGCTCCTGTGGGCGGCTGTGGAATCGGCAGATTCGACCTCAGATCTCAGCTCCGGCCGCAGCCCCTCCCAAAAGACTAATCCGGGGGGAAGCAACCGGGTGGAGATCCGTTTGCATTGATTTGTGAGTGAATCCATGTCTCCTTGGAGGTTCGTCTGGCATTCCACGCGCTCCTTGTACATGCAGTGCTGCTTGCGTGACTTGAACGTGAAGCTCTTTCATTCCCCCGGTCTGCTGCCAATTGCTGCATGCACGTCCCCTTGTACCACACGGATCTGACAAAAAAACATTCTCGCGGATCTGTGTTCAGCATCTAGGATGACAAGCTCGGAGAAGGGCGGGATGTGGAACGCAGCACCAGACTCGTCGCTGGTGCCGTTGCCCGCGTGGATCCGTGGAAAGTGAATGCGCCCTTGTTGTCGCGCATGATGGCCACCTCGTGCGGCTCGAGACACGGACAAGCTTCCTCACCTCGACGATCTCTTCGAGCGGCTGCGGAAAGAAGAGACCCTACCAGCTGAACCCATCATTAGAGCTGATAACCAGGCCTAAGACTGTGCATGCAAGTGCGCCTGGTCCGTCACCAGCCGCTGCTGCGTGCTGCCTGGCCAGTGTTTTTGCAGGGACAGCAAATCAGCAGCAGCACGCGAGCGTGCCCGGCACCGCCGGGCCGTCTCGGCCCTCTTGGGCGTCTGCCTCGAGAGGAGCCGACCGCGCGCCTTGACACACTGGTGAGTGGTTGAGACAGACAGATCCTTCGGAGGAGATAGCTCTATTTAAAAAACGTGTCCAGAGCCTCAGTGGTGTCTGAGCTCTCTGAGCGGAACGCGGTACGAGCTTGTTGTCTTTTTTCGCATTCTCACTCCGTCCCTGAAGGTTGCTGCCTCTGCCGCGCCGCCTTGAAGCGCGAGACCCGCATGGGGGGCGCAGCCTCCTCGGCCGGCGGCGGCGGCGGCTGCGGCGGCGGCTGCGACTGCGGCGCGGGGGTGCTCCTCTCGAGGATTCGCGACGTAAAGGCCTCTGGAGGATCCGCCGGGCCGCCGCCACCACTGGAGGATCCGCCGCCGCCACCGCTGCCGCCGCCGCCGCCGCCGCCGCCGCCGCCGCCGCCGCCGCCGCCGCCGCCGCCGCCGCCTCCGCCGCCGCCGCCGCCGCCGCTGCCGCCGCCGCCGCTCCACTCTGCCTCCACAAACTCCTCTCTGATCTCGACCGTCCCGTCGGGGTTGCGGACGAGGCCAAACCCGTCGCCGCCGCCGCCGCCGCCTCCCTCGCTGCCGCGGTCGAGGCCGAGCGTGTGCATCGCTCCGAGCTTCTCAAGCTCCGAGCCCAGCTCGCGCACCTCCTCCTCGAGAGACTGCACCTGCGCCGCCACAAACTCAGCGCGGCGCTCAGCGATCCCGACGGCCTGCGAGGCGGAGCGGAGCGCGAACAGGTTCTCGCCGAGCAGCACCGTCACCTCGTTGGTGTGGCGCAGCGTGCCCGGGAAAAGCGCAAGCTTGCCGAGCGGCACCATCGCCGGCCGCTCGACGCGCTCAGGCAGCGCAGTCAGCGTCGCGCCGAGCGCTTCGTACTCCTCGAGGCAGGCGCGCATGCGTGCGAGCGCTCCCTCGCGGTCGCGCTTCTGCTCGCCCACCCGCTGGACGGCGCCGAGGATGGCGCGCGTGTGCTGCTCGCTGGCAGAGGCCATGGCCGCCGGTCGATTTCTTCAACCGCAGGAAGAAAAGAATTTTTGACGCGCTGCAGTGCAGAGAGAGATAGGAAGTGGTAGACGCCCGAGGGTGGGTGTGTGGTGGCGGCGTGCCGTCCTCCCATCCCTCCCTTGGCTTGTCTGTTTTATTTCTTTCTTTCAGTCCCGTGCAGGTGTGGACCCTGTCCTCCTCCCCTATCCCACGTTTTTGTCTGTTTTCTTTCTTTTACACTAGTCCCGTGCCAGGAAGAAAAAAAATTGCTGTGATTTGTGTGAGCTCTGTGCTTTCCGCCCTGAGAACGGCGCTCCACCACTTGAATGGCGTTCGCTTCGGCCGGCCTGCCGCCGCCGGCGCTCAACGCTGCACCGCTGCCGAGGACGCGGCGCGCGGCCGCGACGGCGCGCAAGCGAGCGGCCAACGATGGTCAGACGATCGGCGTCAAGCGCCGCCTCAACAGCGAGCTCGAGAGCGCGCGCATGGACGTCGACGACGCCAAAGAAGGAGACACCAGAGTCGTGGACGCCACACAGATGGCCGCTGAGGCGGCCGCCGGCGCCGACCGCGGCACGAAGTGCCTGCTGCACGTCGCGCTCGCGGCGCGCGACGGCACGCACATCCCGGACATCCAGAACACGACGGCGCTCGTCACCGAGGTGCGCCAACTGATCAAGAAGACGCCAGGCGGCGAGGCGCAGCCGGCGAGGAGCGCGATCAGCGTGCCCGTCATCGGCACGTCGCGGGCAATCTGCGTCGCCTTCAACGGCGAGAGCGAGGCACGAGCCTTCCTCGAGCACTACGCCGGCGGTGGCGTCCTACAGCTCCCAGCTCCAGACGACATCACCATCACCTTCGTCGCTCTCGACGCCTCCGAGTGGGGCAAGCAGGCGGAGGCGCGCGAGACCCAGGCGACCACGGAGTCCGACGGCCTCATCGCCATCCGCACGCGCGGCGCCATCAACACCGCCGCGCAGCATCGAGCACTTCGCCCCTCTCTTCGAGAAGCATTTCGGCAACGTTGTCTCCATCCAGGAGGGATATCACTCCTTCCTGGGCACCAAGTCCGACGAGAAGGACGGCTCCATTCTCTTCAAGAACGAGAACCTCGCCTGCAACCTCCCGGTCCTGCCCAACGTCTACGCGAGCGGCGATGTCGTCGGACCTCTCCGCCTCGATGTCGGGTGTGTCAAGGTGCTCGGGAACAAGCCTGCCCATCGTGCCGCGCCTTTGCGACGACCAGCGACGACATCATCCACGACGCGCAGTGCGGCGCGCAGGCACTCAAGAGCCGCACATTGCTCGGTACCCCCCCTGCACATCTAAAGCCATCCCTGCTGCTGGGGGGGGGGGTCGGCCATGGCTTTAGAGATGTGCAGGGGGGGTACCGAGCAGTGTGCGGCCGCTCCAAGGATAGGCGCGCAGTAGCGGCGAACGTCGCCAAGAAGAAGACCTTCCAGAGCGTCATCGTCGACAACAAGGTCGAGGTCGCGCGCGCGGCGGGCAAGGTCAAGGCGATGGCGGCGCGCGACGGGCTTGGCTACTGCCCAAACTTCAACCAGACCGCCCTCCCGTGCAAGACCAGCGCTCGCTGCCGCTACGCGCCGTGCATCAACTTTGAGGCGCTCCTCCACACCGCCTTCAAAAGGACACAGTCTACGAGCGCATGCCGAGCGCGGTCAGGTTGGGCACGAGCCGCGGGCGGCGCGCAGACCGGCGCGGCGGACGGCGAGGTCAAGAGCAACAAGAAGAACTGGGCGAGCGTCGCTCGCGGAGCCGCCCGCTCCCCCTACTACGACGGCGGCCCACGCCTCGAGTCCAACGAGCCCTCGCTCTACGAGGGGAGCGACGAGGAGGCCTAGGAGCGGCGGCCGAGCCCTTCCCGCAGTGCATCCCTAGCAGCGCAGCGGGCAGGGCGGCTCGCGCAGCACACACACACACGCACGCACGCACAGACACACGTCCCAACTCCCCAGAAATCCCGAGGAGTCGCGCAGTGCCTAGGTATTTTCTGCGTCCTGTGTGGTGCGCGGTGGTCTGCCCTCCGAGCGGCTGCCCGTCGGGTTGCTTTATTTATCTGTGCCTGTTTGGAGCACTTGGAATTCGTTTTTTTTTTGAGCTAGACTTCGTTGTTAATAGGTACAAGCGAAGGCACACACGACATGACGCCAAACACACGATTGCACGCACCGCACCGCACCTCGCACCCGCGCCCGCCGCCCCCCCAACCCCCGCCCCGCCTAGGTGGGAAAGAGATGAGGAGATGGGACAGCGTAGGAGGAGCACGAGCACGTATGGGAGGGTTCAATGATGCGCCACGCTGCCCGGCGTCTCTCACTTTCCGGGACAGCCCCGCCCTTGTGAGGCAGGAAAGTGACGGCTACCCCGTACGCGCCTGCCGCTCTACTCGACGCCGACCGCCCATCCCCCCTCCTCGTTCCCCCCTCGGCGAGCCGATGATCGCCGACCCTCTGTTTTTTTTTTGCTTTCTGTAAACCGCGGTGGTCGGCCAGCAGAGACATGCGCTGGCGCTCATCGCGCGCCGACAAGCCACCGTCAGAACTCGCAGCGGCGCGGAATGGCGGCCACCGCTCCCTCTCTCTCTCGTCGCGGCTTCTGCACACGCTCGCCGGAGCCTTCCTCGCCTATTGTGTGTGCATTGTCCGAGACAGCCGTGCGTGTGCCAGCAGCGCTGCCCCCAGTTTATCCACGACCACCGCCGCCGCCGCCAGACCTTCCGCCGCCGAGCTCGCGTCTCCACCGCTGCGGCCGTCCGCCGCCTTTCGAACAGCCAGCTCGCCGCCGCCTGAGCAGGCCGACACTGCCTGGTGCTCCTCGTCGCCGCCGACGACGGGCAGCGAGCTGAGCGTCAAGGACGTTGCGTTCGGCATCCTGACCGCGAAGAACCTCGTGCAGTCGCGCGTCCACGCACAGCAGCTCAGCTGGCTGCCGCAGGCGCGCGACGTCGTCTTTTACTCCGAGGCTGACCTCGAGGCGCTGCAGCCGACTGTGGTGAGGGCGCCTGCCGGGGAGGGAGGCGTGCGCGCCGCGGGGCTCAGGGCCCGGCCCTTTCCCCCAGGCGCTCGAGCCGCCTCCGAAGGAGGAGCTGGTCGGCGGAGGCGCATGGAAGAACTTCCCGGCGAGAGCATCAGCAGAGAGAGTAGCAGGGAGAGCAGCAGCAGAGAGAGCCGCGGCTCACCAGTGATGGTCCAGCGAGAGGGTACGCTTCCTCGCGCGGCTGAGAGCGGCGCCCCGCCGCAGGCGCTGATGGACCTGCACAAGCGCTTCCCGC